GGGGCTGGGGCTGAGCGCATAGGCCCCTCCCTCCATGCACCCCTCACAGGGCACTGGAATGCAAAAGGCCCAGCTTTGAGAGGCCCTTCTTGGGGTGGGGGGTGGGGGACGCGTGTGTGTCTGTGTGTGAGACCATATCATGTGCTCTGGAACTGGGGGGGGTTTGGTTGGGGGGCAGATCGCCGGGAGCGATATTAGACTGGCCACAATATCATCACCAGTTACTTAATGCCGTCGTCGTGGTTACTATAAACCTCACTGTCCTGCTGTAACCCTAACCCATGGGCTTGTTTGGGGCCCCATTCAGGATCAGAACCCTCCTCGGGCCCCCCAGCTCTCCTGGGACCTAAACCCAGAGCCTCCTGACGCCTCCCAAACCAACCCCCCCTCCCCCCGAGCCCATGATGAAATATTACTGTAACTCTCCTAGATACCAGGATACTCAGACACCGAGATATTTAACATATTTCACAGTTCACTAATATTAAAATGCCAGGTTATATAATACCACGCAGATAATTACTGATATCGCCGCATATAAGAATGGAAAAGAAAGACATTTTATATGAAAAGGTTGGTATTTGGAGATGCGAAAAGTGTCAGCTGTGGAATGAGTCCTTTAGCCGGAGTTCGTCTATTAAACATAATCTTAAAGACCAGCTAGAAATAGAGTGAACCCCCAGGAAAATGTGAGCAAACTGTAGCTAGTTACCGTGATGGGCCACTCTACTGGAACTGGTAACTAGTTACCGACAGAAAGAGACCCGTACGGTAAGAACGGCTCTCGGCATAAACTCCGCAAGGCGGGAGGAGCAGCGTCCTCCAAGGAAACACACTCGCTGACCTCAGTCGCTGGAAAAAAAAGAGCAGGAGCGAGAAGAGAAAGAGAGAAGCTGGTGTTTGTTTTGTCTCCAGTCCAGAATGAGGCCCATACATCCTGGCACTAAACACATCCCCGCTCTACTCCCAACAGCCATTCGTGTGGTTCAGGGATTCCAGGCTCATTCGAATCCGTCGAATGGAAACTACACCAATCATGGTGAGTGTCGTTAATCGCGACACGCCCCTACAGAGACATTCACCGGGGGTCCTCGTATGGAGTGCGGTTCGGGCATCTCCCGGACGCCTAAAATCCAAGGGCTCCGCGGCGTGCTTTCATAGACAGGAGCATAACATCGTACGTCGTGACACATTGCTCTATACGGTGCGGTCTGCCTAAGCAAAAGCACGACCGGAGACTGACCCTCCCTTGTATCGACCGGAGAGCCTAAACTCAAATCTGCTCAAAGGGAGTGCAGTTTAATACGGTTTGATCAGCAAAGGCCCACAGCCAACATCTCCAGAACCGGAGTGGCCTGTCAGGACAAATCGGTATAGAAAGAGCGCAGCGGATGAAGCCAAGTTGAAGCGACGGCCTCGACCCAAAGCAAACATATTAAACATAACAGAGTCTGTTTGGAGTCTCTGTATCTGGTTCCCTGCTTCAAAGGATCGCTGTCAAATACGGCCCCAGTATAACGGAAAGCATGTGTGTTTGAAGCAGCGGTAATTAATGCGGCTCATGTCGCAGTCTGGCCACGTACCGACGGCCATTGCTCTTTGGGGGGGGGGTTCGACTTTCCAGAAACGCGACGGCGAAATTAAGACGAACGTCACGTACATCATTCTGAAGAGGTAGAGGAGGTTTCTTGAGGACAACCTCATAAATACCTC